CATTATTTTACTTTAAATTACTTTACTCTAACCTTAAATTACTTTTCTTTACTAGAAAATACTTTTTTGTAATTTACTTTAAATTTCTGTATATTCTTTAAAATTACTTAAATTTAAATTACTTTATTTTATTTTAAGTTTAAATTACCTTACTTTACTTTCTAGGATCAGCCGCGGTTCCCGGTTGTGATTGGGTGTGATTTTGTAGCTGCCGACGCATATCCGGTGGTAGGATACCGTATCCAGCGCGTAGGTCAAAAGTGGGTCCGATTCTTCAGCTATAGACAACGCTGCAGCTTAAGCATTCATAAGACTAGTCATTTAAAAAATTGTTTGTGAAGTCATCTAAACATGTTTATTGATTGCCCCCCCCCCCCCCCGGCCACTCCCCTTTTCCCTTCCTGTTTCCACTCCTCCCCCATTTTTACTGTATTCCTTCATGCATATGTTATTTTATATTAAAAAAATACCTGCACGAGGTAGATCTGTTGTTTCTTTTTCTGTAGCATTTTCCTGTTTTCTTGTCCTGTATCTTTATCTTCATCATTAGCATTATCTTTGTGTGTTATTATATGTCACCTAACGCCCGCCTACGGTTTAGAAGGTCGTAGGTTTGTATTCTGACAGAGCTGGATTTTTTGTCGATAAAGTTACTAACTCCCAGGTCCACCCAGCATTTTAAGTGAATAGCGGGTGCAGTCCTGGGTTGTAATGGCGACCGGTGTGGTGCTGACTACATCACCCAACAAGTGCCGATTGGTCTAAATTTCAAATACGCTTAAAAGGGGTGGAAAAGATACCTTTACTTGTAACCTGAAACTGGCTGTCAACTTTCGTTTCCGTTTTATTCTGTACAGTCCTTCCGATATAATGGAAGGAATTCATATCAGCACATTTGGTTTCTCTCGTCAACGTTCGTGTTATAGTTTCTTCTGAAGGGCCTCGCTTGGTCGTTTTCCATTTATTGTCTGGTGATTCTCTCTGGTTTCTTTTAGATGTGTCCATATAGAGCCACTGTCTTTTTTGTTTTGCACCCTTATAACTCTTGTTGCCTCTGGTTGCCCAGACAATTCTCTTATTTCTACTTGCTTGTTTTGAAAGTTCATCGCAATTCTGGGTGCTGTAAGAATCACACTTTCCCTCTTCTTTCCTCAATGTTATTTTAGCAGTCATTTCTGAATAAGTAAATGGCCTACTGGTTTGTTAGTTATGTTGCAAGATTATTATAATAATTATAAAATTTTTTTAAATGGTACAATATCTAAATACTGGTCGGGATGTGGAAATCAAGCCGAAGTCGCCGTGGCGTAGCGGCTAGACGCTCGCTTGCAGATCGGAAGGTCGTGGGTTTGCTCCCTAGCGGAGCCGGACATTTTTCAAAAATGACCTTGACTCTCAGTTCGACCCATTCTTTTGTGAGGACTGGGTGCAGTCCCAGGAAGTAAAGGCGGTCAGCGTAATGCTGACTGCATCTACCATTTTGTGCCGATTGGTCTGTAAAATATAGGTCTAGCCCTATATGCCCTATAGCCTAAAGGCATAGAAAAAGGACCTAAACTTTTTTTAAAAATAATATATAACTATGAATAACCTTCACACTTGCATACGGATGTTTTTAACATGCCTCATCTTAAGAACTGTGCCATCATCAAACATATCACCGGCTGATAACAATCACTTTCTATCAACAGGTACCCAGTGATAAACTCTCCTCCAGGCTACGTCAGTCCGTGCGGTTAGAATACAGCTGACAGCGTAAACATGTTTGGACTTTAATCGTGTAATCATCACGACCATTATCATCCATGTTGTTTCAGAACTAGCAGTCGATGTCTCAATTCCATTCAATGTGTGTATTTCTGTTTAGGTATGGTGTGTTTGCTTCAATTTCAGTAGATGTTTGATTCTCTGTGTGTTTCGTTTTAAATGTGTATTCAAATTATTTTCATCTTTTTTTAATTTCTTATAACAGTTGATGCCGTATTGTAGTTATAAAATGTTTTTTTTTAATTTTAATTATTAAAGGAAAAGCTAATGTTTTCTTTGTTTTATGTTTCTTCTGCTGCTGCTGCTTCTTCTTCTTCTTTTTCTTCTTCTTCTTCTTCTTCTTCTTCTTCTTCTTCTTCTTCTTCTTCTTCTTCTTCTTCTTCTTCTTCTTCTTCTTCTTCTTCTTCTTCTTCTTCTTCTTCTTCTTCTTCTTCTTCTTCTTCTTCTTCTTCTTCTTCTTCTTCTTCTTCTTCTTCTTCTTCTTCTTATTCTTCTTCTTCTGATAACCCACACTGTGTTCTCCTAGTCATCAGGCAGTTTTCACAGCCTTTTTTCTGGTAGAACTTTAGTACGTGAGTGCAGGGACTAGCCATCTTGTGCTGAGAATCAGAAGTTCAACAAATGATTTTCAACAATTCCCGCCCAGGTGATGTGATTGTCTGTACAGATGGCTCTGTGTTGAGGGGCAGACGAAACGCATGGGGGTTCATAGCAAGGCGAATGGACGTCACTTGGCGCAACAAAGCCTGGCATATGATAACACAACGTCTAGTTAGAGAATGGAGGTGGAGGCAGTCACTGCTGCATTCCTCTGGCTTAAGAATCAGCTGTACACACATGCCGTCATTGTAATTGACACAGCGCATGTTATGATAGGTGGACACAGACATGCTCAGTGCAGAGTAGCAAGCATCACTTCAAATGATCGTTAGCATCCATTGAATATTTTCTCCAAGTCATACCGGTGTGTTGGGAAATGAGCAGGAAGTAGACCGGCCTGTGCTGCACCACTTGGTGGTGAACTGATGTATGACAAGCTGATGTATGACAAGCTGATGTATGACAAGCTGATGTATGACAAGCTGATGTATGACAAGCTGATGTATGACAAGCTGATGTATGACAAGCTGATGTATGACAAGCTGATGTATGACAAGCTGATGTATGACAAGCTGGATGTTGTGAGCGCCTTTGAGAGAAAGTAAGCAGCGCCAAGGCACATATAGATCATTACGGTCTGAGGAGAATAGCACTGCAAGAAGTTACAGTGGGATTTGGCCGACGCTTCACACTCAGGGGAAAGGTGAGACGGATATACAATTATATAGTTACTGGTACCATTGAATTTCAACTCTTCGCTTGCTGCTGAAGATGGGGACGGAGCATGAATAGTATCAATTCTGTAGAGACTATAATTTGAGTTGCCTCATCCCTAAAGTGATATTGGATGGCCATTGGAGCTACGGGGTGATTTTTAGACTAACACGAGCCGCCATCTCCATATTAAGTCATTTCTGAGTGTCTGTTAATATTATTAGAAAAAACCTAATACAGAGAGGTGACACCTTCGTCTCGTGACAGTACTTGTTAGAGTTCTAATCATACTGAGGGGAACTGCAGGAACCTGAAAGCATAATAAGAAAGGCAGTAACTGGTTCATTACAATGTCTGCCTTGGCGATGCGATTATCTTTCCAGATGGCTCTCTATTGGGAGGCAGGAGACGTGCATGATGAGGCAGGCGGTGAAAGAGAGGGGACAAGGGTGTTTGGTATCTGATGTTACGACATTTAGTTCGAGAATCGAGCTGAATACACTCACATCAGCTTTCCGTTAGCTTGTTAGTCAGCTGCACACACCAACGCTGTGTGTGTGCGTCAGCACCTCTGGATGACGGTATAGATTCAATTCCTAGCCTAGAAACGTTAAGATGATTTCTGTCATTTTCAGCTCTGGGTTCGACGCAATTTCAAAATATGTGAATATTTTCAGGAAATGTGGCGAAAAATGAACTTACTGTTCGCCAGATCTCATATATCTCAGTCTACAATATACAAAGACCTTCTACTTCCCACCAGGCTGAGTATCTTTTAATGGTTCAATCTAAGGTGCATAAATCCATTCAACCTAATGACTATTAATTAGTTGAAAACTAGTTATAAATACTACCAGTTAACATAATTAATTACTGGCAGTTAACATAACAGTCCCGCTATATAAAAGCACATAAACATTTGGCTGGAAAACTTATACTAGATAATAAACGATTATTTGTCTATCCTCTACTTCATCGAGAGCAGACGGCTTGCTTTGCTGGAGAAAAAAAAATTCGTCACGTTCAATTAGCATCCCTGGAGTGGGGAGCTTTAGGCTATAATTGTGACTAGGTTATGTGCGCCATATAAAAGCACATGATGAGGACGATGCTTTTTTTTTCAGCATGAGTGTTTTTACACACAGCCACCAGCTGGAGGCTGCAGATTCCATTCCTTTACGAAACGTCGCTCCCATCACAGCCCGCCTTTTCTCAAGTCTAAAGGTGTCCCTCACGCACTAAATTCTAAATCTAAAAACGCTTTCTTTCTTCTGTCTTATGTCTGTGTGTGTGTGTGTCTGTCTGTCTGTCTGTCTGTCTGTCTGTCTGTCTGTCTGTCTGTCTGTCTGTCTGTCTGTCTGTCTGTCTGTCTCTCTCTTTTTCTCTCTCTCTCTCACACACACACACACACACACACACACACAAGTTATTAAAAATATCGGCAACCATGGCTGAGCCAGCGAATCTATCAGCTCTGTCGTTGTCATCAACACCTACATCACCTGGGTCAGACATCAAGGTGAGTCCACGACAAGTGGACCCCCCGTTAACTCAGCAGACTACCTGCATAATAAGCCTGCCTCAGTGAACAAACGTAGGAGTAGTCCAGTGATTGTAGCCACATGAATGCTCTTGTAACCTCTATTACGAACCATGTCATGCTAGTTCTCTCTGTGCCTACGAGTCTATCGTAACTATATATTTGTAAGTATGTTATTTTATATGTCTCTAAGTATGTTTGTTTATGTGTCTGTCTTTTAATAATATATTCACACAACTCTTATTTTCTTTTCTTTCTTTCTGTTTTTTTTGGGGGGGGGGGGGGTAGAGAGAGAAACTTTCTGTAAGCAGCCATATTGGAGAGAACTGTTGTTTATTTCTGGTTGTTGACTTGGTATCGGTCGTGGTTATGATCTTCTTTAGTTGTCACAGGGGGACACGTAACCGGGGTCTGGGTTTATCAGTGGGTACCTGTTGGAGATATTTTTTATGTTACATTTTTCACAGAACATACAAACAGACTATAATTCGTGTTATGTGTATATCTTTTTTTTTTTCTTTTTTTTTTATGGAACAAAGGAGAAAAAACACACCCATCCATTGTCGTTGCTAGAAATCAGAAAACTTATCAGGGGAAAATACAAGGAATTGTGGAGAGAACAAACTAATAGTAAACATCCACAAGACCCCATCAGCAGACTCAAAAGAAAGCGACATACAACTATTTTCCTTATACGAACAGGACACTGCAGGCTCAGCTACTTTCTTCTTCTTCTTCTTCTTCTTCTTCTTCTTCTTCTTCTTCTTCTTCTTCTTCTTCTTCTTCTTCTTCTCTTCCACCTTGTGCCTCAGCGAAGTGTTGGAGGAGGGGGGGGGGGGTTGTAACATTCGTTCATGAGCTCTGTCAAGAGCGCTATTAAGACTGATGTTCATTTCTGTAAGGCTGTTCCTAATGACATCTCCACATTTTCCGAGGTCCTTCACTCGCGCTATACCCGTTGTAATGTTTTAGTGTAGCTCACTGTGGCAGATAGTTCGAGGGCATTCTGGTTAGGTGTCCCAACCACTTTATTTGTTTTTCTTGGATGACTTGTAAGACTGTTTTTTTCCTAGCATTTGTCTAGTTTCATGATTTCGTATTGTCTTTCAAAAAGTACTGCAGCTCTTCTACTCAATTTCACCTTTGTTGTCACAACTTTACGTTCATTGGAGGATGTAAGTGTCCACGTTTGGCACTGATAGTATAGCATTAGCCACACACACAAATAATTCTTGCAAGATTTACTTTGGGGTATCTTCTTGTGTGTCAGCAGGGGAGACAATTGCCCCATTACTTGATTAGCTTTGGCACATCTCGAATTAATTTCTCTGTCCTGATTTTCGTCGGATATGAAAATTGCTTCCTAACATAAAAATGCGTGTCTGTTTGTCTTAAGGTGTTGTTTTTTAATGTTATTTCTAAATTGTCTTTCTGTCTTCCTATCACCATTGTCTCTGTCTTCGTAGTGTCTATTTTCATATTAAAGTCCTCCCCTTTGTTACTAATTTGATTGATGTTGTTCTGTAGGCATTCCGTACTTTTTGCTACGAGTAACTGGTCGTCAGCGAATAGCAATTATGTAATATCTTCTTCATGCATAAAATAAAGATTGAATAGTCCCGACGTTTCAAACAGGGCCCAAAAAAACTGAGCACATTCTGCAGACGTGCCCACTCTGCCTACAACTTCGAAAAGACACCTGTCCTCAAGAGCAAAGTGTGCAGAGCAAACTATAGAGAACGATGAAGGATCTGCAACTGACATGCAAATCCATAGATACACCCCCATCTGATGGTCTGATCTAAGCATACGAAGAAGAAGAAAAAGATATTACTCTCTGCATACAAAAATACACTAGCGATTGTTCCGGTCTATTTTTAAAAATTTTTTTTTTAAAGATATTTTTTACATAAATATTTACTTATTCATGCACAGAATACTATATATTTCAAATACAATCCTGTCATCGTTTCCTAGATCACAGTTATGGCCCTCCAAATGTCGAATGAATTCAGGGCTGAAGTTGTTGCAACTCCTCTTCCTGTAGATCTATGAATCACATCTGCTCCTGATCAAGTGCACACTTGTGGCGTCTGTATTCCGACTTAGGCAACACGTCTCTCGTTCTAGCTGATGAGATTAACTAAGGCCTTATTTTTAGAATAGCGCTTATATGGGAAGTGTACTGAAGAAAATTCCTGTGGGTCTTAATTTCAAGGAAACACGGCACGACTTCTACTTCCCCTTATATGCATCTGCGAGTGAGTGTTTGTATACATATGAGTGGTGTGTGTGTGTGTGTGTGTGTGTGTGTGTGTGTGTGCGTGCGTGCGTGTACGTATTAGTATTGTGTATGAGTGAGTGTGTATGTAGAGATATGTGTATACATATGTCTGCACACAAATGTGTCAGATCTGTATAACGGATGCACACAGAACACTCAGGATCTGGAAGAAGACTGCATTTCCGAAATGGACGAACAACCAGAACTTTCTGCCAGAGTTTACAGCTGGTGAATGCGAAGAAAAAGATTATATGTATGTATGTGGATGACTGAGTGTGTATGTGTATGTATGAGAGTCTTTGTATGACTTAGTGGGCAATAATATGCGCGTGTGTTTGTATGAGTGTGTGTATATATGTATTTCAGTATGGGCATTTTGAGTGTGTGTGTATGCATGTATGTACATTTGAATTTATACATTTTCTATCCAGTCTTTCGTGTTATAATGTTATATTCATTTTACACATTTTTTTGTGTGTGGGGTTGCTGCTTATTAACATAACATGCTTTTTTGATGCAAATACAATAGGAATGTAAAAGGTGAATATTTTAAAGGACCAAAGTTTAAGAGGGGCGCGCGTGTCCAATTTGTAAGCTAATAGAAAAAAAGTTCTTTGGTGCGTGTTCTAGGGTCTTATGGGGAAGGGTGGGGTGAACTGATCCATAAGGCAAAAGTCGACTTTTAGGATGTGTTTCTTTTGAAGTCATATCATCTCTCCTTGAGAGGCGAGGAACCAACAGTATGCGCACAAATAAACCAGGGCTGTAAAACGGATGTGCAGACAAATATGAAGCTCTGAATGAAAACCAAAGTCCAGAAGTGGACGAACAAGCTGAACTTTGCCCCCGGAGTTTACAGTCAGTAAACTCTAAGAAGTAGACTACTAATACAGCGACGACTACTACTGCTACTGGCGAGTACTGCCATATTTCTCCAAAATAAGCCCCAGCTCTAAAAAAAAAAGCCCTAGTGCGATTTCCATGGTGTTTTTAATGTAAGCCCTACCCCAAAAAAAAAAAAAACAGCCATAGCACGACTTTCATAGTGTTTTTATATAGTCTTACGTCAAAATAAATCCTAGTGCCATTTTCGTTTTTACTTTCATACAAGCTCTACCTACAATATTAGCCCTCGCACGATTACTGTAGGTTTTTTTAAATATTTTTTCAAGCCATAATAAAAAAAAAAAAAAGCCCTTACACGATTTACAGTTTTGTTTTAAATATAAGCCATAGCCCCAGAAGACCCCTTACACGATTTACATAGTTTTTTTTAACAAGCTCTATCCCTAAATAAGCCCCAGTTAAGAATGTCAGCTAGAAGCAAAGACTTGCTGCGGAACGGCCAATCCCAGCACAGAGGCCACTGGAGCCGATTGTTCAACAGAGAATGTTGTCCCAAGAACTTCAGGTCAGAATTGGAGATGTGGATTGTTAGACTAATGTTCCTGGAGATTTGAATGTATATCAATAAAGGTATAATTTTGTACACGAATATAATTTTTATATCTAAAAAAAAAAAATATAAGGCATCCCCGCAAAAAAATAAGTCCTAGTACATTTGTATGCGAACATTTAATAAAAGACGCGGTCTAATTTCTGGGGAAATGCAGTATTACTGTTTCAACCCCTGTTACTAATTCTTCTACTGCTTATATTACAATACCAGCATTATAGCTACCATTTCTTTAATTCGACTAAAATTAAGCGAAAAATAACACTATAATTATGGTTTTATTCATAATCATCATCAACATCATCAATTTCCCTTTTTGCCGTTAAGCCTCATAGGGAATAGTGTTAATAATTATAAAATAAAACCAATATCTTATGATTTATCGGCCTAAAAAGAGTGTCGTCTTCACAACTGAGGTTGTCTAGTGCTATCAGCTACCGAGTATAGGAATAATACGTATTATAGCCTCAGTCTCTTTTGTGTGTGACACTCATGTAGACGGGTTAACGTCAAAATCGTTTTTAATCAAATAATCATTTTAATGTATAAATCACTGGTAATTGCTGTGGTGTATCGGCTTGACGTTCGCCTGTGTATTGGAAAGTCCTGGGTTAGAATCCTGAAAGTACCAGACATTTTGTTTCAAAAGTCGCCTTGACTCCCAGGTCGACCCAGCCTTGAACGGGTACCAGGTGAAGTCCTGGGAAATAAAGGCGACTGGAGTGATGCTTAACAAACCCCCCCCCCCTCCCCACCGCCCCAGAGTCAATTGGTCTATACAATATGTCTAGCCCTATATGCCCTATACACCTAAAGGTGTGGAAATGGGTCTTGTTTATACATCATTGATTTATGAGCTCTATACATATGTCTTTCCTCTTCTGACACAGCATCTTACTTGCTGTAGTGAATGAATAAGCAGGTATCAGTTAAGCAGCTAAACCGTTGCAGAGTACCCACTTTTTGCCTGTGCGATCAAGTTCGTATGGTTCCATAGGGGACGTCTGGTGTGAAAACATCGGCACTGTGACAGTAAAGGAATTGCACGTAAACATTCCTGCAAATCGTGGATGTTTCTGAAAAATGTAAACATTAATAATTTGTTAGAGATTACTGAATGAACTTTTTAATTAAATACATTGGTGCTGGCCTGTTCATGGATTTTTTTTTTTTTTTTTTGAAGGACAACTTTCAGAAGCCGAGATGGGGTTACAAAAAAAAAACAGAGCTACAAAGACAGAATAAGTACATTGAGACAGCTTACAGAAAGAACAGTACAATATAAGACACGAAAGTCGCATTTATAGTCCAGTAAAACGCTTTTGATAGAGTGGATGATGAAATGTTGTGGGTTTGTCTCTTGTGGGTTGCACCCACTTTGGGAAACACAGATATAGATGGCTCTTTCGCATCTGGTAGGAAATACATTGCACGGACTAATATCTCTAAACGGTTCAACTCAGCCCAGCTTCAGTACAAATTTCTTGAGCTGTTACACCCTTTTGTTTTTCACAGAAGTGGTAATTAACTACCTAACATCGCAGTGAGGGTTAGCAAACCTGATTTTGTGGGGGAGGTGGGGGGGGGGGGGGGGGGGGCTACCAACTGCTTCTCAACAAACTTGTCGTAGAAGGCAACTATTTAAGTGTCACTACACCAAAAAATTTTATTTTTTTATTTACAGACTTAGAGCAGTTATTTTATAATGGCCATTTGTAGGGATACATTTTATTACATTTGTATACTTTAAGTGTTAAAAAATCATAGTTGTCATGGCAATAGCCGCCATCTTGTGAAAAAACAATATGTACTTAGAATCCTTAAATTGTAAAAGCAAACATAGGTATTCAACAATAGATGATAGATCCATAACCTTTCGTTATATTTAGAGGTACTGGTCTAGTTTATTTACTTTAAACATGTTTTTAAATATTTTTCGTATAATTTTAAAATGTAGGTTTATTGAAAAAGTCAAAAAAATCTAGCACCATAAGACAATAATCAAATTTTAGAAACAAAACTTTCTAAAATCTACTTTTATATAGACCAGTCCCTATACTATTTTTTATGGAGTACGCATACAAAATTTGATGATTCTACTTTTCATATTAGCTTAGATTTTAAGATTTCACACACACAGCAAACTGAAATATAAAGATTTGAGAAAACTGACTTTTAAACTTTTTTTATCTTAAAAAAGTGCACGAAGTGGTGTCATTAGTATTAACTTTTCAATGCTAAATTGTTTACAAATGGCATAAATTTTTTGTGTCATCTATTGTACGAATGCCGAACTTTACAAAAACGAACACATTGAAAAAGTGATATTTTTATCATAAATTGGGAAAAATGCCGTGTAGTGACCCCTTAAGGAGTTGTTGGAATCGAATGTGTTAGGCCGCAAGGTGCAAATTTAACAGCCAAACTACAACCGTCCAATAAAAGTGCAGACGATGCAGAAGAAGGAGAATTACCCTAATAATGTAATTTAGGTCTCAGATCTAACAAGTGAATACATTTGTTTGCGCCCGCTATTATCTCATGAGTGGGCCAGCCTCTCACCACAGAACATCTAGTGCCTGTAGACTACGTTGCACACAGCACGAGATCAATAGATCCACAGAGATCAATAACAATTGCATTCATGGACCCAACAACACGATCGATTGAGAGCAGGAGGAAAACGGCCTGACCAATTCACAGCGGAGGCTTTCTTTACATTTATAGTGCGGTTCAAAACTTGTACCCTCACATGTTAACAAACATCTCAAAAACTCTTGCTCGAATCAACAAGAAGTTCTGTCTGTGACCTTAAATTTTCCACGTTCCTATGATTTTAAAATTTACAACTGCACAGATGCTGCTGTTTTCTTAAAGCGGCGAATGTCTTTCATCTCTGTTTAACTAATAATGTTGTACCCTAAAAAAATGTAGTAACTAACACACGCCAGGAGATCGGAACTTATTTGATATGTGTACCAATGCATCTGGATTATTGTCATAGCCTACGCAACATACAATCAAATATCTACACATCTTATGGAAGACTGATGCTGGAGATGATCACCTGAGAGTGACACGCCTATGAGACGCCTGCAGTCTGATGTTTTGAAAACTTAACGTCACTCAGTTAACTGTAAGCATGATGACGACGTCCGTGGCTTAGGCGTTGCGAGTCGTAATTGCAACGTCCCGTGATCGAAACCCACTGCTGGTTGCGTATCATGGTATGGGGCGTTGCAGTTCGACCCAGCTTAATGGGTAATAGGATAACTCTCCTGGGAAAGTAAAGACAGCCGGTGTAATGCTGACCACATTACCCACCTAGTGCCGATGGTCAGTAAAAATATAGTTCCATATGCCCGATGCGCCCAAGGGCGTGAAAAGGGATCTTTTTTTTTTTTTTTTTTTTTTTTTTTTTTATAATGCCGATTGTTTACTTTGAAAAAATGTCTGTGTAAACGATGTATGTGTTTTACTTTAGAAATCAAGTTTCTTAAGAACATGAATATTAGCATGTTGCATGCCAAATTCCAAAAACTTACAAGGAACGGTTAATGAGTTACAGATTTTTTTATTTGGGTATGATTTCTGGAACAAACTATCAGTATGAAAGGCGGATGTTAATTAAAGCCTGTTATAATCATCACACGTTTCTTCCGCTGTGACGAAGGGCTTACAACAGGTCCAGATTTAGACTTGATGAGACCATACTCAATAGAAAGCCCTGCGACCCCTATTGTTTTTAATTACACCAGCTAATCTTAGAAAGTTTTAAAATGTATACCTCTATACCTTTAAACATATAGATAATGGAACTATACTCTCGTTTAATTTTTAATTAAATTTAAAAAAAAAATTGTTGTACTTCTTTGCAAAATCACATAATTTATCTACTGCGCTAAAAGGCTGCAATTTGCGACTTTAAAATTGTTTTCCAAATGCAAAATAACTGATTGTGTCAAAATAAGATGCAATATGTATTACGTCACTTTCTGTACACCAAGTATCTATAATTTTTAATGAGACATAGATGATTTCAGTTTAATGTCTTTTTTCTTTTCTTTTAAAATTCTTCTTAGCTGTGAAAATACTCCTGAATATTTTCAGGCTCCCACAGATTGTGGGGTCTAAGTTGTAGCCTATTTATCTAATGTAATGTATACAATATATAATAAAATATATATTTATCACACAGTTTATCCTTCTTTCCATTCTTCTTTTTCTAAATCGTTCGTGACAGAAACCTAAAACTTGTTGTGTCTGTTTAAGTATAACTGCGACTTCTTTTGGTATTGGCTGTTCGGTTTAGCCTTCCCGAGTTTGTTTCTATTCTATACAACTGCTTTAATATCATGGGCGGCTTCCACTCCGAAATCTTTTGCTTTAAGTTTGGTCTTAGGATGTCTTCTGGACCTTCTTGTTTTCCCAATCTGGTTTTTTTTTTTTTTTTATTATTACTCAAGTGACTGTTTTGTCATTCAGGTGGATTGCTTCTTCTTCTTCTTCTTCAGCGATCTCTGGTCATGCGCATAATCCACTGTAGGTTATAAACTGGGATGTCTTTTCAAGGTCTCTTAGGTTTCCCCAAAGCTTAGTTGTCAGTTCTACTGGGTGTTGCCATATGTCGCTCCGCAGCTTGGCCAGGAGAGGACAGTCTTGCAGGACGTGTTCTGGAGTCTGTTCAGCACGAAGGCACCGGCAGAGAGCTGTTTGGCTCATACCTAATTTATGTGAGTGTTTATTGAGTCTGCAGTGTCCAGTGCGTAAGCGAAAAAATGTGACTTGGTCTGTTCTGTTCAAGTGTTTCAGAAAATCTTTTTCGTAGTTATAACCAGTGTTGGTTTTCCAATCTGTTTCTGATTTTCTCTTAATGAGAGTTTTGACTTCTGGAAAAGATAGATGGATTACATCAAGTGGATGTAGAATGATGTAAAAGACAAACAGTGACATTACTTTACCAAGACTATGTAGATGTACGTTCATTCAAGCGAATAAGTGAACACTGACCCCATTAACAGTAGAAAAACAATAAGGCACGTTTCCGTAGACAAAACCACTTCTGACTTGGAACGACGCCTTGCAGTTTTGGTCTTCGTGAATGTCTCCACATGAAATGTTGGACAAACTTTCAACATTGAACTCTCCGAACCTGCAGTGACAACAAAATAACAAATGTACGTGCTTGAAGTTAATGTATCGCTGGTGTTTATGAATTCGCACATGAAATGAAGCAAAGTTGTATTAACACGGCAAGATGTGTTGAATGATGTCAGGATATGTCTGTGTGTATATTGTGATTTTTTAAATGTCATTTTGAAAAAAAAAATGCATCATTAATATCTGCTCACAAAATGATAATAATATCATGCAAGAATCTTGAACTGGTGAGGAAGGCAGGGCGAAACGATTACATTTTCGGAGACTACTTTCGTGTTTGCAGTTTGAAGGTATTTTCTTACACTAATTAAGTATTGTATGCTCTCAATTAGTAAAATAGTGGAGATGGTGGAAAATCGCGGAGAAGCACGTAATCTGTTTATTTCATCGCTATAACTAGTATCAAGATTAATAATAAACTCAAATGGTTAGGCATATGGAAGGAATGTCATATAACAAACAATAACAACAACAAAAAGCACACAAAAGTCGCATATGAGACCGCTTCCAAACAGACCAAGAAGGCGTTGATAACATATGGGAACCCGACTCACAAATACTTGAAATCAACTGAGAACAGATGGCCGATCATAGAACGAAACATACACACTTTATTTTCAGAGTGGTAAGAATTTGGCACGCAGGCCCTTATAAAATCCGCCTTTCTCTACTTTCATACATCATTCCAATCATACATCGAGTAATTTACCTAGCAAAACCACAACAGTAAAACAATCGCTTGGGTTGGTTCTGCAACGTCCTGTAAAAAGATACTCAACTAACTTATTCCCCATTCAATGAAAAATCCGCAACTCACAGAAAACGAATGCTGCAAGATGACCAATTAAGAGTGAAACCTCTATGACACGCGTGCAGTTTTATATTTTGAAACGTTCCCCTTAGTAAATTTACTCGATTACTGTAAGCTTGTCAATTGTTTGCTTTGACTCGTTTCTGTTTTTCATGTACAGAAAATAAAAATAAAAATAAAAATGAATTGTTTTTTACTTTTATTATTATTATTATTATTATTATTATTATTATTATTATTATTATTATTATTATTATTATTTAAATTCTTACAAGGACATGATTATTACGTCTTTTAGTCCAAGGCGACACATGATGTGGCAATGGCTGTTTTCATGGAGTGTGAAGTATCACATCTTGTTTTCTTTCACTGTTTATATTTGGTCAGACTATGCTAGTAAGTTATGACTTCTGGTATAGTTGCTTTAAATCACTGAGCACTTTGCCCAATAAAAGTTATACACTTACGATTGCTCGTAGTAGTTAGTGCGCCCCTTGAAAATGTATGCACAACTTTCTGGGACTCAAAGAGTTAACAGGCTGTGTGCCCAATTTCAACAAATTACACGAAACGGTTACTGGGTTACAGATGTTTAAAATTTGACCGCAAGTCTGGATCGGACTATAAATACATTCAGTGGAATGTGCACATTTATATCCATAGTCTTCTTCTTCATTCTGCTACTCATGGAACGCCTCGTGGCGTCAGGGCAAAATGAGATCTCTGGAACGAGCCCTTCTGTTCGCTTCATATATAAAGTACTTTTCAGTGTCTCTGATATTTCTGAAGTCAATTTTCTAAGTTGTCGTCATCTAGATCAGTTAGCGCTGTATCTGTATAGCATTGCTATCTGTGGTGCCCTGTCTGCTTCAAATCTTGTTACATGACCAAGCGATTTAATGTGTTGTCTTCCTTTAAATGTTCAATATTGGTTCTGTGCCGACTCTCCTCATGATATCATCGTTCCTAAGTCGATCTTTCCACCTTACACCAAGCATAGTTCGTAAACATTTTATGTATGTCTTGACTACCTTCTTAAAGTCTTCTGAAAACAAGTGTCCATGTTTGACATCGATAACATAGCCCTAAGAATATTGTGTTGAAAAATGTATGTGGTCGGATGCTTGCATTTCAAAATTGGTGCCATTTGACCTAAAACTGGATTGGCTTTGCTGCATTTTTTGTTGGATTTCTTTATTCATTCTTCCCTCTTCTCAAAACAAAACAAAATTCTCTCCTGATATTTAAAATCCTTCGCCTGCTTTAACTGGCGCTAATTAATTTTGATGTTGTTCATTCTTGTGACAATACGCTCGGTGACTTCAGAATGTCTTTCCTCAACCTATTTTTCTTTGTATGTATTTTAAAGTATACAGAAAAATATGGTTTTGGAGAGATCACTAATCTAAGTAAGGCGACCCCAACAAACATATTTAATTCTCCTGGACTATTGGTGATATCTAACACTGAGACTCTTTCCCAGATGTAAAGTGTTAAGGTAGTCTTTGTGACGCCTGTGAGACTGACCAGCTCAGACTTACTGGCTGGATATTTGCACACCATCTGTTGGTTGTCAGATAATTATCTTCTAGTCAGACCTTTAGGAGCAGATAACTCAGGCTAATTGCCGTTATCTCCCCCAGAGGTTACCTAGCTATAGCGCAGGCCGGATCGCCAATATTGACATGTCAGCTGAAAGTGTTAACAGAATATTGGCACATCGAATAAAGGTGACTGCAGGTTAAAGAAGGGATGGGAGGTGTGACGTTGTGTATTAGCTTTGACCGGCTTGATTGAACCCGGAGAATGTGACCGTGGGAATTTAAACAAGTGTTGTACAGCCCTGACTGACAGCGAGTAGACTTACCCGTGGGTAGGAGCTGTGACATCTTTGAATGAGAATGGCTTTAGGAGTAATGTAGGAGGAGCTTAAAAGAAGTTATAAAAGGGCGAACTTTAGGACTGGTAAATGAGACTCTGTCAAAAGCATGCCATCTGTTGGGCTTACAACCTAAGCTTGAGACAGAACTTTTGGCATTGTGTTTTCATTTCCAGGTAAGAACGAAACCAGTTTGAAAACCTTTATTTCCTTTTAGAAATCTAACTGTCTTTTTACTCAAGTGTGTGTCTTCATCACTTTGTAATACTCCTAAGCGAACATTTCTCCATTCTCATAGGGCACTGTCACATTGCTTTATATCCTATTTGATAGTGTCATGAAAGTGTTTTTGTGCACATGTGTTTTAATGTTGTAAAACCTACATGTTGATGTTACCATTGAAATTTAATGAACTATCATGTTTTTAAAATCACAAAGGTGAAGATAACTTTGGCAATCTTGTCACGTGTGGTTAATGTGAATCTGTATTACATACAGCTAACACACTGAAATGTGTTTAACTCCCGGGAGGCTAATGCGGAGATTGATCCCGGTGAGGAAATCCTTGAGATTTGTCATTTGATTCGCCCCAGAACTATTGTTAGCATTCTGGGCGCGTCCATGGTTCCAAGCATGGATTTCAGAATTTGTTCTGTCTGACTGATTGTCATTTTGAGTCTGCACGAGAGATGGCATCTGACGTAGAAGACTTGACTATCATTACAGGACTTGTGTAGATGAAGGCAGAAGATGTAACGGCTGGAATGTGAGACATAAGCCCTTCCAAATTGGACAGGAGTGAATGTGAAAATGAGGTAGAGGTGAAATGTTTTATTGAAATAAATATGTTTGATGTTGTTATAATATACATGCTTAGTGTACACCTAGAGCAGATACTACAGATATGCGCTTGTTTCTTCATTCTCCAGTTCCCACATTGGGCAGGGACCAATAGGCATCCATTCTTTGCCGACAGTCTGAGTGTAACGACCTGCCTGAAAGCAGTGAGGATGACAAACTGGAAAAGAATAGGCAGGGCCTCAAGCCGAGAACTGTCCGACGGTGAATTCTCCTACTAGGAGTTGAGTATATTACTTCCTTTAATAACACCACCTTAACTCTACTAGCCTAAACAAGTTCATTTTATTTTGGTTAGATTTATTCAAATAAATCATGGTGGATGTTGTTACAAAATAGTTGAGTAAATTGTGTACTTAGGTTCAAGTGTCTTTGTGCATATTAGTTTACTTCAGCTAACAAATATTTAAATCACTTGATGGGGGCTTTTAAGTAATGCCAGGAGAGGAGATAAGTCCGAGGGGTTAACTGTGTATCTAGATAATATCACAGTGGGTTTATCCTGATATCTATCTATCCCTTCTCCTATTCCTGTGGAGACAAGTACAGCAACTTTCATTTCTTGGAACGAGCCACTCGCTGTTTTCTTGGCTATCCAGGACTGTCTAGGATCAACATAGCTTAGATATTAGTCCAGTTTCTCACGTGGGTGGGCATTGTTCAAACCCACACCCATTACTTCTGTTTTCTCCAAGTCGATCTTTATATCATAGTTTTCGCATTCTGAGTGGAGTCTGTTAGCATGTTCTTGTAATGCTGTTGGTGCTATGATAACCTGGTCGTCGGTGGAAAAAAAAAATTCATTCAGTTATTCT